TTGTGTTACCCGCGTTTGTTGTCCTAAATATGTTGTACGCATTACACTCAAATACTTCTGCTTTCGCCCACTTCTTGTCCTGTTCGTCCTTGGGGGCTCACACAAGGCATAATGAGGTTGTGACATCTCGGCCTTGGCTACCGTTACAACACTTATTTCCAAGAATGAAGAAAAATCTAAGGGAAAAGCATTTTCCGAACGCAGAACAGGGTAAAGAACACTGGATGCTTTTCGGAGCATCCAGTTCGAGTGCGTATCATTTATATTTGACAGTGTTTTGAAGCTGATTTATGCTCTCAAATTAAAAAAATAATGCTTCTTGTAAAACCTTAACCGTTTGAATGGCTCAAGAGAAAGTAAAGTATGTGTAGAACTCACCGGTAGTTTCCATTCTCAAACATATCATCTGCCGTGTTGGTGAGGGTCCAGTAATTGCCCTTTCCGGGTCGTGACTTGTCCCTCCCCAACTTCACGAAACAGTCATTCAGACTGAGATTATGTCGAATGGAGTTCTGCCATCCCTGCCTGTTGGTTCGATAGTAGGGAAATTTCTCCATAATGAAGTTGTAGATGCCTACATTAATGTCATACATAGGTATATAGTCAAAAAAGGCCTCAGTAATTCACATCTTGGAAGCCACCTACAGACTAAGAGAAGACGGATCATAGCCTCAGGGCATTCACAGGATTAACTAAATAATGATCAGTGGTCGTTCAAAACACTCCTAACGTTTTTAAGCAAAAAGCCAACTTTGAGATTCACTCACTACCAACCATTTGCATTTGGTTATTTACTATTGACAAATAGGTATTAAGTGAAGAGAATGTTCTAAGTCTGGCCTGGAAATAAGGGGTCAATAGTCGACTTTTTATGTCTCTGGATTAATATTTCAACTTTGTTATTAAGGAGGTTTGGCAGATTTGGTTAATTAGGTTGACGCAATTATGAAAAATGTCGCGGCATTCGGCAGCATTCGAACCGGCATAGGAGGGAAGGCCTTCTAGGCAAGCCAATGCTCTACCTACTTGAGCTACGAATGCCACGCTTCACACCGTAATTTTAACAAAATCTGTCAAACCTCCTTAAAAATTAGGTCAGCCTAGTATTCATTCTAGAGGGTTCTAGATGATTGCTTAGGAAATCCTGCTTGGACAGTCAACTTGCTGTCCCG